CCCCAAAACCCCAAAACCCCAAAACCCCAAATAAGTATCCAAGGATTGATATATTTTTAATGCTACTCAATCCAAGATTCACAAAAAACCGCCTTCATTCCCTAACCAAACACTTTAACCACATCCATTCTAAAGTGCCTCTCCTCAGCCTCAAAACCCCCTCTAAACTCATCTCTTCCACACACCCAGGCCAGGCAATTCCTCCCCTAAAATACCCTTCTTCTCATACTAGCATCCCCTAAGAGACCCAAACACGTTTGAGGCCTACCCCAGCCATGCCTAAAGCAGCACTGCTTTGGCCCTGAAGAACCTATACAGAGACTTCAGGATGCCAACAAGCAGACATATGGACTAGGAAGAAAGCAGAGTGACTAAACCTGAAAATAAGCTTAGTGGAAGCAATCAGGAGAGACAGTAGTTAGGAAACCTCTTATGATGATGTCTGGATTAGGATCTTGGATAGAGAAGATCTGATTTCCTCATAAAATTTTGCATTTCCTGTCTTGAGATTTTGGAGTTGGGTGTTCATATCTTTAAATTGCTCTCTTAGCTGCTCAATCTCGTCATCATTATTTCCTTTAAGCTCATGGGTACCTAAATATGTTACTCTCCAATGCTCACAACTTCCATTCAACCCCTCACTTGGTGCCGAAACCTCCTGTCTCAATTTTTCATGTTCTTGCTCATTTTTCCTGGGCTGCTGCTCAGATTCCTTTCTATTCGAAGGGAACCATGAATGATCCTTCTTCTTGACACAATTGTATACATAGATATCTCTGAAGTCTTCCATCTCGGCCTCTCCAAGACTTCTTATGTAGCCAATGTAATACATGTAGTCCCACAGATTGTGCTCATACTTACTATGATTTGTGAAATTTGAAATATCACTTGAATCCTCTCCACAGATAAAGCATCTCTGACTTTTCTTCTCATTAATAGTGTCACTATGACTTCTTCTTTCACCAAAATTGTCAATAATGATACCACTCAAAATACTCAAAAGCAGTGTAGGAACAATGAAGAAGAACAAAAAGTCAAAGGTCATTCTTGGTCCTCTGATCTTGATCTGATTGGCCTCATCGACAGTTTCCATGATAGCTGATTTCCCATTGTCAGAAAGGAAGGCTCCAAGACCGTATTTATACCACGAATCGAAGATAACGGCTAGACATCTTCTCAAGGTCTTATTGGAGCTCCCAACAGTTTGATCAAAATCGCTTCCAAAATAAACGTAAGCAATAATAGCGAACCAGTAAAGAATAACTGCACTTAAAAGAATGGTTGAAATAATTCTGTTTCTTGGCTCCCAGACTGCATTGATTACTTCCAGAATTTGTGGTGAGAAGGACAATAAATAAATTGTAGTGAAGGAGAACCAGAAGAAGTCAGATAAAATACCAGCAAGAGAAAACCCAACGCATAGTAACAAGCACCATATCCCTCTTCATTGCATAGTTTCTTCAAAATTACTAAGCATGTAGCCTAGAGGTTTTAGTATCTTCTGATGCAGCTTGATCTTCTTGCTTTCGTCATGGTCGCTAAAAGCTCTTGTATATTGAAGCTTTCCCACAATTATCCCTTGAATTAGTGAGATATAGCAGAAAAGGATTAAGATTACAAATCCAAGGGTATATAAAATGGTATTAGTCAGGTCAGAATCTATACCAAATAGCTGAGGGTGGTCCAAAGTCTGGCCTTCATTGACCTCGAGAGCAAAGAACAGGCTGAAGTTCATTACGATAATTAATACTTTGATAAATGTTGTCAACCAGTTTGTCTTCATTGCTAGATCTCGTGGTCATAAGAAGGAAGTTTGTATATCTTGCAAAATTGATAGCTCGTCTATCTTGTCTTCAGCAAATTCCACCAAGGAATTAATCACAGTTTTGCTGTTATCGAGATTTGCATCAATCCAGAATCTGTCTTTCTCATCTTGCGTGAAGGCTAAGAACTGAGGTAAGATATGAAAATTTCTCCTTGTAGAAGACCCATCTGGCATTACAATCTCGATCCTTGAGCTATGAGAGTCAAAGAATTGGGTAGCTTGGCTACAAAGAGTCTGGTCTTCTAAAAATGGTTTGTACATTGTACTCGTAATAGGTTGGTATCTCCGAGTGCAATTCTTCAGCTTAAACCAGACTCCAGTCAAAACTCTCCAATACTTGATCAAAGTAGATTCCTTATCTGAGATCTGGACAATGTTGAGGCTGGGTTCTCCATTATTAGCCCAAATCTTTGAGATTAAGTAGTAGCACTGGAACCCAATCTTTATATTGTAGATATCTCCTACTTTTGAATCTGAATTAAACAGTCCAGGAGTGTAATGATTATACTTCAAAATCCGATACTGCACATACATCAAAGTCATCAGATTGTTAATATTTTTATGATGCTCATAGTTGTTTATCTGGTGCTCAGTCTGAGGAATCAGAAGATTATTGATCATCCTCATAACACGTTGCTTCAGCAAAAGGTACTTCTTTCTCTTCTTGACAACAAACAGATAGTCGCGATCTTGGCTATCCTCCCATACTCAATCAAGTTCAGAGTCGAAGGGAGGTATTTCCTTGCCATTAATAACAGACATAAATTCGCGTTCGCTCTTGGTCAGCCCGCACTGTAAAACCATGAAAGAATACTTCAAAATCCCTGAGCTGGCATACTGGTTGATATATTTATGATTCTTGGCATTAACAGTCTCGATAATAAAGTTGATAATGACCAGCCACAAGTCAAGCACGTACTCTGAATTCACACTGTTGACAGTGACTCTCAGCAGCTCTATGACTGGAAGAATGAGGTTCTGGGTCTTTGAAGAGTTATCCTGATGAGTCATATAGTTCTGCATTTCCTTGTCATTCTTTAGCAGCAATGTCAACCATTTCAGAGCCAAAATTAGCTCTTTATAGTAAGTCAAATCAATGTTATACATAATGTCCTTGAAAAGCTCTCTGTTCATGAAGTATGTACTAAATTGATTTGCCAGATTAATTATCCGTTGAAATAGGGTGTTCTTGTTTTCCTTATTATGGGACCAAATTCTAAAAGCTTTCCTTGCTCCAAGAATATCAAGCCTGATTATCTTCCCTAGGATCAGATATGCTAAATGACGGATCTTTCCAGCCAGATCTGTGATGTTGTATCCATCAATTATCAGCGAGAAAATTGCTTTTGTAGCCTGCTCAGTGTAAAACATATCTTTAATTTCCTTGTTCATCATTAATTTATTTATTATCAAGCATTTGCATGATCATAACAACAGCATGTAGGATATATTCCTGCGTCTCAAGCCTTGGCTCAACTTTCTCGATAATTATGAGCAACCTATCTATAAAGAGCTGGAATTTTCTTCATGATCGACTTTCTCCACTTTTTGTAATCTTCATATCATCTAAAAACTGAGAGATCATGACATCTAGAACTTGTGAAGTCATATTTTCGATTCCACACCATGTCTTGAGTTCTTCATGCCTCACTTGATGAGTATCTTGGACAGTGATGAAATGTTTAGAGTCGTCAAAATTTTGATACTTGCCTTTCAAATCATCTGGTGTATGCTCATTTCAGATCTCAGCAAAGTACTCTAGCAACTCCTGATTACTAGCAATAATGTTCTTTTCAAATTTATACTTGTGCCTCAAGTTATCAGGGATTTGTTTCTCAATGACCTTCTTCCTAATCTTAGAGTCAAAAAGATGCCCAAGTTTGGAAGCTATGGCTTCAAAAGACCTTCACGAGTCAATATCCATCTTGTCCAGCCCGTTCATTTGAAGAACTTTCATCAGCAATTCAATATGGAGGCCATTGCATTCCTTATTTTTCCAGTGGATTGTAAAGAAATATCTATTGAACCCCCACAAAAATTTAGCAATTTCTGACTCACAGCTTGCAAAGATCAAGTATTGATAACTCGTTAATACAAAACTGTAAAATGTGTTCACAGATTGCTGGTCTGAATCTGGCCTGCTCTGGAATAACCCATTTGCTTTAATAAGGATCAGGACTAGATTACGGAGTTCCTGGATATGAAATCTAGACAAGTCCTTAGATAATTTAGTAGAATTTTGGAGATCATTCTCAAGAGTATTATGCATCTCATAAATTCGTTCCTGCAATACTTCCACACTATTGATGCCGCTCCTCTGGAGGTGTCAGAAGAAAGGAAGCACTTGTAAACTTAGTTCATAAATTTCTTGGTTGCTTGAGAGATTCTTGCCACAGCTGTCTGAAGTTTCTTGCTTCAACGAGTCAAGCTTGATAATGATGTCAAAGATCTGGTATGAGACCTGAGGCTCATCTTCAAAGTCAACCCATTTGATGACAGCGTCTTGCAACGAGAGAGTGAAATTCTTTGCCACATCAGAAAGGTTTTTAGAGAGCAATTCTTCAATAAGCGGCAACTTTTCCTCATATTTTCCTTCGTGCTGGGCTTGATCTTTGATATCAAAAAGCAATTTAATAATATTCAGGATGCTAAACACAATTTCTCTCTGGTAGGAAAGGGCAATAACATCAACTTCATCACACATTCCGTTCGTCAAAGCATCATTTGCTTCCCTGAGTTCAGAGTTATTCAGCTGTGTGTGCTTAATGAACTCAAAGGCATGAGGAATAGCCAGAACCTTCATTCTCGAAAGCTTCTCTATAAACCTGGTTAGGATAGGAAGGCTCATTTGGTCTCTTAGTTTTGAAAGAGCAATTTGCCTATAATGTATATTCTGTAGCATGGAATTGATAAGACTGAAAGTCTCAGAACTCAGATATAAATTATCAATCGACTCGAAATCACTGTAATCTTCAGCTTCATCTCTTTGTAAATGTTCGGGCCTTTCATTCAAGTTCTTCGGGTAATTAAGACTCCTGAATTCATTCTCAATATGAGGGTTTTGAGAGCCAAATAACCTCCCTTTATCATGAAGCTCAGTAGCACTAATCGAGAGGTTGTGATTCGTGTGACTCCTAGCCTGATTAGGCTTGCTTCTAAAATGTGCGAGGTTTGACGGATTCCTCCTCTCAGATGCTGAATATTTCGAAGATTTCCCGTTTTTATGACTTTGAGACAAATAAGTACTCTCATTTTTAGCATCAGAGAGCATTTCTTTAAAATCTACGATCTTAGCGAGACAGTGGTCTAGCATAAGATTTCATAATGCAAATTGCTCATCCGATGGAAGCTCTTTCTCAACTTTAGGTACATTCGTATTGTGAAATAGTTTGAGTAACAACCCTTGAACATGCAAGCTCTCACTAGAATCTTCAAAGTAATGGTCGATTAAAGAGTTTCACTTCATTGTGAAAGCTTCATTTTCTTTTAATCCGACCCTTATATGCCTATAACAAGTTCAGAAATTTAGAATATAGTAACGTTTGATTAGGAAATGCAAAATGAGATGCCTTAGCAGAGCCAACCTCTTCCCATCGGGCTTTTAAGCATTTATAACTTAAATTTGAACAATATCTTGCATTCTTGAAGTCCATTCAATATGCAGATATATACAAGCATTAAAGCCCTTGGTTTTAGGACTTAAAACGACAGGAACTAGCTTTAGATGGAACAGATGATTCTACTAGCATGCTTGCATAGACTCTTATGTCTTAAAATAAGCTTCATTCTAACTCTAAGTTTTGAACAAGCAATAGTCCAAAAATTTAAAGAAATAAATGTCAAGACTCAGCATGAAATTCAGAGTTTACCAGTACTATAAATTATAAGGAGCATTAGCTCCCTAAATTTGGTGTTCTGGAGGGTGGACATCAAATATGCTTCCTTTCTACCGGCAAAGTACAGCTCTTTATACAGTCTCTTGATGACCTCTTTGTCTCTATACTTTCTAGAACTTTCAAGCATCAAAGGAATATCAAATTCTTCGATATTGAAAACAGTTTCTTCGATCTGGTTACAAATGTAGTTTACCACAACAAAATTTATTCGATTATTGCTCCAAACTCAATTCTCATCCCTGTAGTTGTTAGTCATTAGGCCCAGAAGGAGGTTGAGGTCCCAGTCTGCCTCATTCGTCTTGCTGAACTCATACTCAATAAACGGCATAAAACACTGAAGTTCGTATATGTATCAATCTTGTCCTATATTTTATCATAAATATTAAAAATCTCTTTCGATCTCAAGCAAAGTTAGTCGTATAGCACTCGGCACAGGAATTAGGCCAAATGAGTCAAAATAGAGGCAAAAGCCAGCCCCTTACCTTGATCTTTACAGTTCATAACTTGAGAATTAGCTTCAAGTATTCTCTGAAGCATAAAAATCCTTCTAAATCTGTCAAACCTCATAAATACCGGTAGTCATTATTCTCCAATTGGGCTCTGTCAGTGATGACATTTATGGCTTTCCTGAGGATGGAAGAGTAATCATGCTCTGTGTCAGAGCAACCAGCCAGAAGAATGTACTCATATCAGTCAGAGTAATAACACTCCTTGTAAGCACCTATAAGTGTTAGACAACCGAGGTTGATAAAAATGAGGAATCCAACGGTTAGAAGTCTCCTGTTGGGGTTCAGATAGGTCGCTATATGTCATGGTTAGCATTGATAAGGGGCGTATTAGAGGGTGTAGACTGCTTACCTTACGAATATTACTCCAGTCATAGCCATTCTCTACAAGCTGATTCCTAATATTTTTCAAAATCTGAAGATATTGCTCGAAATTGAATGCTTTGTTGACACTCTTCAATGCTTTAATGCTACTAAACATGTATCCTATGTGAAATGAGTCATATAGCTTCAAGGTTATCCAAGTAGCTAAGCACTGGATGTAAAACTTCAAACAAATCAATACAAGCAAATTAGAGGCCCTTAAAAGGCTCTTAGCATGCATGATGTCTCTAAAATTACCAAGAAGGATGGCCAAGTCTAGAATAACAGGCTTTAAGCTAAATCAGAAGGAAAAGTGTTACCATTAATGCACATGTGGCTGTAAAACTGGTCTTTAAAAGTGTTAGGCTCCTTCTTTTGTATAACCTTAAGGAACCAATGAATGATCCGCCTCATTTCCTTATAAATGAGAACGAAGTGGGTCTGGTGGTCATCGTTCTTTATAGTCTTGGTTCTGGTAAACATCCATCCTCTTCTGACCTCTGAGAGCCTCCTATCAACTTCTTTAATATCAAGAGTGTGGAAGTTCGTCTTTGAGAGATGGAAGTAGAACTCAGACATGTTTTTGTGATCAAGAACGCTCAATGTAACATCACTGACTCCAGGATCATTAGTCACAGTACTCCTGAGATATTGATCTGTATTATGAATCTTAATCAAGAACTTCTGGTTATACCTTAAGTTTTGGCCTTTCTCGACTTCAACAAGAGTGAAGTAATAGGGATGAACACAAAGGCTGAGGTTGTCATCTTTAATCCCGAGATACTTCCCTGCAAACTCTCAATATTGGTCTTCAAACTCATTGTAGTAGAACTTGAGGGTGGATCTGAATAATATCCTTGCCTGGTTGGGAAAATACACTGCATTAAAGGCATTTAGGAAAGATATGTCTGAATAAGCCTTGTATTCAGTCGCCACTATTTTATCTCAAACTTCATCGATCTTAGTCCAGTTCTTGACGAACAACTTATCTTCAAAATTTAGGTATCTCGATTGCTCATCGAAGATGAAAAAGTTTTCAGTCGGTTTTATTGTTTGCTTGGCTGTAGTAAAAGGTTAGCAATCACAAGGTCAAAGGATCAGTAGCGCCATAGGTCTAAAGCGACTTACCTTCATCGATTGAGCTAAAATTCTGACACTTCTGCACGATTTCTAAAGATTAATCAAGCAATAGGCTCACCTAACTCAATGTGGCTGCCTACTTCCCCCTTCTGATCTCAAAGACCTGCGTAGATATTGTAAATCTTATCTTTGTAGTTGTCTCCTAAGTAGTAAAACTTCTTTTTGATAATAGTTGCAAGATGATATTTAGTCTCGGGTATCACCGAATTCCTTTGACTCTCCTCACTTGTCCAAGTGAGGAGCCATTCCTTGACTCTCTGTTGCTCATCTTTAGTGCCTTCTAAGTAGATCTTCATATCTGTATTCCCGTTATCCAACCTCTTAAGCAGTACGGGCTGGTTGACCTGAAGAGGGTACTTCTGAACCTTCTCTGAGAACTGAAGGTTGTTCTCTACTCTCTTGATATTGGACAGGTAAGACCTGTCAGTCAGCTCAGCATAGTTTGAGTGCTTTTCATCCTTAAAGTACTTGTAGTTGTTCACTAGCTTGTCCACCCTCGTATTTAAGATAGGCGTCAAAATGAAGATCGTTGCTTTAGACTCATCATCAGTCCATTTCCATTTTCTATAAGTCTCAATGTCATCTATGAGCAAGCGAATGGCTGAGAGAAAGTCCTAGGCTCAAAGGAGGAGAACATTTCTTAACATTCTTTCATATTTTTAAGTACCGTTAATTATTCAGAAATCAAGGAAAGCTTACCTTGCACTTTCATAAAGATATTTATATGTATCTTGACTTTTGTCAAAGTACTTCACCATGACTGTATCATAGTATTGAAGAGGGTTCTTCTTAGCATTCTGTAGCTCAATATCTTGCATCCTCTTCAGCTCTGTTCTTGCCTCTATTACAAAGTTAGAGAAACCTTTCATAGAAAGATACTAGCAGGAGCTTCTGTTTTATCATCTCTTAGATATTTAAAGAGACAGAGTTATTCATGAAGAGATATAATAGCTTACCTTTTCTCTTGCTTAGATAATCTTCTTTATTTTTGCTACATTATTAATGGGAGAAAATACCTATGATCACTCCAGCCATCAATGAGGTCGACTAAGTCAACTCTGCTTCCGACTAACTCCTTTGACTCTTCACGTCTCAATCGGGTTATTTTAAGACTAGGGTAAAACATACTCAAATCGGTCTTCGTCATTAGTCAGGGTAGTATCGGGTTCCCTCTCTTGCTTAGTTTCCTCCTTCGGGTTCCTTAACTCTCGCCTAAATTCCTTCCCTGTGTCTCCCTTGGTCTCTTCCTTAGGCATGATCTCTCACTGTTCATGACTTGTGTCTTCATGAATGTTTTCTAGATGGGCCGTCAATAAATTCTCGCTTGTCAGAGACCCCTCTTTGCTATCTAAGTGAATGTCAGGAGCCATTTGGCAAACCATTGAGTGTTTTGAGGGAATACAGGGACTGAAAGGTGCAAGAGTTTTCACATCAGTTTTATAGCAGGAAATATACCTCTGAAATTGTGAAGAAAAGTTGTCCTTATAAGCCAGTGTCTTAAAAAAATTAAAATTTATGCTTTTAAAATTGTTAAAATGGTGAAAACCACAAGATATTCACAGAAATTTAGAGATTAATACGTGTAACCAGTGTAAAGCAAGCCTAATTCAAGTAAAAAGGCCAAGAGAGATATGCTAAGCTTCTCCATCATCAAGTATAGATGAATCTTTTTGGGTGCTAAAATTTGTTCTGAATGCTAAAATCTAAACCCAAAGATATCCTCAGAGCTGGCTTACATCCATTTGACCATATAGAAACTAGATTAAGCATACTGTAGAGTGGATGTTTCAGGCTTAAGCAAGGCTGGAGAGAGCCACCCAGCCCTCCATGTTCTTTAATATAAGCCAAGATTGCTTCAGTATCTTTAAAAAAGCCTATTGACAGTGGTCTAAAAGTTCTGCAGAAAATCTTAATTGTTGTTAGTCAATGACGGTGATCTATTCTTGATAGCAAGCTGGCCAAAACCTGACACATTTTTAGGTCCCAAGCAATAATTATGACATTTATGAGGATAAGAAATACTCAGTTAGACTAATTATGGAGAGAATATTAAAGCTAATCTATTCAAAAATCCAATATGGAGATGTGGGTGACACAATTTTTATCAGCACCTAAGCGGAATCTAGTACTTTAAAGAAGAAGCTAAGCTGTTATTTTGTGATATAACAATGCATTTAACCCAATTTCAAAAGCTAATTGAGTGCCTTGATTCTAGATGGATAACTGCCTCACCCACATCTAAAACTGAATCTTTTAAATGCCAATCACCCCATGATCATTCAGCCTCGCTAATATTCTACCACCCATGAGTGCTCTAATCAACCCTCTAAACCCCCAAAAAGGTCCATTCCCCACTGCTCTCTACTCCAAACCTTCCCTCCCATTGCTCTCTTGCTCCCGAGCTCTAGCCCCCAAGCACCCACTCTCTCTTCCCCAAAATTCCCACTGGGCGCAGCCCCAAAGCGCCTTCTCCCAATCAGCCCTAAACGGCAACTTGGACGGCCCCAAAATCCCCAGTGAGGCCTTACTCCTGCTGCTCATATTCGCAATCTTATTTCCGAAAGGCTCGCTCATGACTGTCACTAAATATTTAAATTTATAGCCAACCCTTACTTTAAATCATGGGGTTTTGGGGTTTTGGGGTTTTGGGGTTTTGGGG